CCAACCAGCCTGAGACGAGGCAGTGGAAGTGGCAAGCTGCTGCTGGAACCTCAGGAGCAGTTCTTTGGTGAGTTTCTCTCAATGGTAGCATTAGGACAAGTGGAGCTTAACAATGCTTGTGCGCACGATCCATTACACACTCAATGTCCTGTGCAGCCATGTCTTTGCTTCATAGCTGGGAAGTCCTTGCATGTCTTCTAGAACTTTGACAATGCTCTTCAATATTATGGTCTTCCCATTTGCAGTCTGTAGCAGTGAGGTTCCTGTAGGTCTCCAGCATCACATCTTTGTAGAGACTCTTCTGTGAAGGATTCAGCAAAGCCCATTCTTCTTGAGTGAAGTTCACATGCACATCATCATAGGTCACTGAATTCTTCAGAACAGCCAGGATTACAGAGTGAAACTTTGTCATGTCCCAAGTTCCGAGCTTGCCCGAGCGTGCCTCACAGCACACAACAGCAAGGTTCAGAGCACAATACATGCAACTACTCAAGACAGCTCAGCTACTAAGCAGAACCTCGAACTGATTGATCCTTAAGGAATGAGGTGACAAGCAACCGTGAGGAATGTGTCTATGTGCTTTTCTCCCCTGTGGTCTTCCTGAGGATTGTAATTCAGCCTCTCCCTTTCAGAAGGGAAGGGTGCCAACTTTTCTATGTTCTATGAACTCTCTCTCCCAGGAAGGGAGGGGGTGAAATTTTCCAAAGACTCTGAGCTGACCTCTTCAGAATGAATATTGTTGTTGATCTGTCTTTTCAAAAACATTGCCTAAATTACAAAATAAATCAGAATTAATGACGGTATATGAAAATAACCCAAAATATTGGCTGGAAAGTTGGAGCATTGGTGTTTCCTTCTTTGTTTCCTTAAGAACATATATGAACATGCTACTCATTTATGACATGAATAATTTTTCTCTTATAATAAAGTTTTAAATATGTGGAGCACAATACTACATTTGTTTCTTATTTAAAACACATAATGATACAATTACTTAATTATCTTTTTCATTTTATACTATTCAAAATTCATACATGTAATGGTTTTTTGATACAGGGTTTCTCTGTCTTGTAATTTGCTCTCTAGAGTAGGCTGGCCTTAAACTCCTAAAAGGTGGGATTAAAGAAGACAACCACCACTGCTGGGCATATTTCATAGACTCTTATTCTCTAAACATTGACCAGTTGTGGAGGCTCAGTGTTAGTTCACATCTACTAAAAATATACAGTTCTCAGATACAGATTTGGAGATATGCTGGTCTCCATGGGGGGGTCATTTTAATCCTATACTCATTTAATAGAATAATAGTATTGAGCTTCTCCTAGGACTTAATTTTTCTTGCTCTGTTTATTACTAATTACATGATCTAGGCAACGTGTCTAATATATTTTGGTGCACTAATTTCCATATTTGTAAATATAGATGCCAGTCATCATGAATGATATGAAGTGTGTAATGTAGCTTATGTAGTGAATGATAATTAGTTACTCTGCCCTACTTTCTCTTTCTGTTGCTGTGATAGATCAAATATCTTGATAAAAGCAATTTAAGTGACTTTATTTTGACTAGCAGTTAAAAAAAAAAACAGCCTATCATGGTAAGAAAGTAAAGGCAGCAGTATCTAGAGTTTATTAAGTAACCAACACCTTCATGTTGCTGGTTAAGTTCCCTAAACTTAACACAATGTAGATTTCTATTTTACTGAATAAAGCAATTGCTTCATTTTCACTTGCATATATAGCTTCTAATATGACTGAAATTGTGGCACAACAGAATCCAGGCATATGAGGACTCATTTTAAAATGAAAATTGGAGAATTCTCAAAATGTTCTAGACAGCCAATTACTCTAAACATTTATACCTTAAGACTAAGATGTAATATGGAGGTTAACTACTTCCAAGTGATAGATTTGTGCCAGAAGATATAATTTAGTTTTCTGGCAAAGAAAGATGAGCTAACATTGGATAAATCTTGCAATGACATACATTTGAAATCAATTAAATTTGAAATGTCAACTATGTACTGTAAGCAGTATGAAACTCATAGGGCCTAGTGAAGTCAAAATCTTATATTCATAGTATTAATTGTGTTATTTTGTCTTCCTTGGTTGTGACCAGAAATCTTGATATAATTTAGAAGGAGTAAAGGTCTATTTTGACTCATATTTTCTAAAGTTAAGTCTATGTTCATATGGCTTCATTGTTCTTAGTCCTGAGGCAAGGCAAAATCTTCATGGTTGAGAACACACAGGAAAGTTTCTAGTTCTATGAGAAGTATAAAGAGATACAGAGTGAAGAAAGATAGAAAAGTTAGGTATACTTCTCTCAAATATGTGGCTGTAGTTTATCACTTTTCTATAACTCTGAATGTTCTAGAACCATACACACCTATGAATTTATCAATGAATTAATCCATCAAAGAAATCAGTGACTTTGGAATCCAGCCTCTACTAAATAGAACCAGAAATTGATGCATGACTTCAGTGTAACCAGTTTTAGATCCACTTAAAACTAAACCCAAAACAAGTAATAAAACCAATCTAAGACAAGAAATTGATGCATGACTTCAGTGTAACCAGTTTTAGATCCACTTAAAACTAAACCCAAAACAAGTAATAAAACCAATCTAAGACAAGTACACTAAAGGCTTTTCGACCTCAGACCTCACCAATTGAGTTTAATCACCAGATCCTACAGGATAAAAGCAGAGATTCCACACCTTCAAGTGATCTGAACACACACACACAAACACACACACACACACACGTAGTACAGCATATATATTGTAGCATGTGAAACTCCTCAACACAGCCCAAAATAAAAAATTAAATGTGATAAAGTATTCAATAAATCCATCTCTTATTTATAAAAAGGCTTACAACAATTACAGTTATTATGAATGTGCTATTGAGGAGTTATTTTGTTTTATGTATTTGTTTAACTTTAATTCTAGATTCACTCTCTGTGACTGTCTCTGTGTCCTTCTCTCCCTCTCCCTCTCCCTCTCCCTCGCCCTCTCCCTCTCCCTCCCGCTCTCCCTCTCCCTCCGCCTTCTCTCCCTCTCT